ATCCCTTAAAAGTTCAATATATTCTGCAATGTCAAATCAACATCTTTCATATCCAAAGGCAAAGGAAAAAATGAAAAAAAAAAAAATTCTTCACTCTGATGAATAAGGAACACATCTAAACCATAACCAGGATGACTTTACCATAGAAATTGCCGCATGAGTTATCTGCAGAACATCCACACAGGCAGCAACGCATCCATCTGCACAAACAGATGTCAATACACCTTATAAACAGTAAAAATATGTACTATAAAAAGTACCACTCACCTCTGTCTAAGACAGGAAGATGTAAGAACTTCCCTTCATGCATTATATGCAGTGCATCAAGGATCGTTGTCTCTAACGTACCACACTCAGGGTTTGAAGTCATTACCTAAACAAATTATTTGGATAGCACAAGTTGATTCATGTTTGTTCAAGGAAGCTTATTTCAAAAAAGGAACAGAGCTATATAGTTAATTCTAAATATAGAATAATCAAACATTCGATGGTTTAGAGGAAACCTTTTCCACCAAAGTCAACTCAGGAGAGAGATTTTGCGCCACAACTCGCATAAGGATATCCTTGGAACTGCAGTCAGTCAAAAGCAAGCATCATATAATATTCATTAGAGAGGACATACAACATCCAAGAATGGCATCTAACTCCAAATGTTCATAAACAAATATAAAGTAAAGAACAATACGTTAGTATCCCCTGAATCTTGTTGCCCATTACAATTATAACTGAATTAACCCGCAACTCCCGCATCCTTTTTGCTGCAACATAGACAGGATCCGATGGGGAAACAATGGCAACCCTGAAATCATAGAGCTACAAGCTTGTCACAAACCTTAAACAAAAATTGAGCCAAAAGTGATAAATTGCATCCTCCCAAAAAGACCAAATGGCAAGTCACACTAAAGAACTGTACTTCGTATTTTCACCAATGATGGTTGACAAGGATGGCTTGAACATTCGATCCCTCAAAGTTTCTAGAAAAGCATATGGAGCTGCAATACATGATGATAAACAGAACAGAATAAGTTAAATTCTAACAGATGTATCAAATGTATGTACCAAAATAATAAACAAATAGGCTCTGTTAATACAGTGCCCATTCACTATAAAACAGAGACTTTTGTAAAACTTTACTGTAGGAAGCAACTTCCAATCACACTCAAGTAATTTAATAATATTGTCATACATTAATACGAACCAGAAAAATTGGCTCCCATCTGGCGTTCAACTCCTTCAACAGCAGCAGCAATGGCACTCCCCTGCTCTGCCGCTTTCTCCAATCTTGATATAGCATCATAGAGACATTTTGTGATATCTAACAAGGCAATAACTTCACCACTCTCTACGACAGGGAGATGTCTGAATTTACCTGTTAACAGATAAAGAAATGAAGTCGTCCGCGTTGCCCAACGTAGCCATGATAAATGAAGATTTAGATGCAAATTCTTAGACAACCCCACTTGCAGACACGAATAATAAATTAAAAAAATACCAAAAACTACAACCTTGTTAGATAAAAAAACTAACCTTGGATCATTTTCTGAAGAGCTTCAAGAGCTGATGAATCAGAATTAACAAAAATAGGATTCCTCGTCATGATCTTCGATACAATTGTCTGCTCCGGTCTCAGCCCCTCGGCAATCACTCTAGCAGAAATGTCCTGAAAGCAAAAGTACCATAAGCAAAGCGGATACTCAAGAACTCACAAGAACAGCCAACTATGAGTTATAACTTGAACCTTGTCCGTCACAATTCCGGAAAGCAACGCATTTGAATCAGTTAAGAGCACAGCATCCACACGGCGAGCCGCCATCCTCCGACATGCATCGGATACTGTAGTCCCCTCCGGAATAGTTAGGGCTTTCGACAATCTTAGCTTCTTCACCGTCCTCTCCCCACCACCAGACCTTTTAAATGTTAAAATTAAAACACCATTTTCGGTTAAAAACTAAAGCTAAGTTTTGCAGACCCCAATTCTCAGGAAACCCAAACTTGAAATCAACTCAACTATACAAACGCAAGACAAATTCTCCAATAAACCATTTTCTCGGGAAACAAACAAAGAGCAAACGAGAAAGGACAAGAAAAACTTACGAAAGGGGAGGAGGTTGAGGAGGAGAGGAAGGTTTGGTGGCGGTACCATTAGAGGTTCCGTTCTCGGGAGGGGCCGATTTCTTAACCCCGGCGGAGGGGCCGCGTTTTTGGCTGAGACTGGTCCGCCTCACACCCACTTGGCTGCTCATCTTTCTCTTCTCTGCGATTATTAGGGTTTCTCTGGTTATCTGAACTGCAGAAACCCTAATTTAGTTGCAGTGATAAGAGAGGGAGACAGAAAAAGGGAACCCTCCCCTCTCTCTCTCTCTCCTTTTCTTTTTGGAATTAAAATTGGAGCGAGACAGAGTATTGTTATTTCAATGGAGGCAGATTTTTTGCCCTTTCAGTTCCCGTGTCCAGTTCTCGTGTCCTTCGTATCTCCGTATTTTCTGTTTTGTGTGGTCACAATTAAGTCACGTTAATATTTTATATATTTTTTTATAGAGATAATAAGATAAAAAAAGAATAATAATATAAAATATTGACGTGATTTAACCGTAATTATACGATGGCACGGAAAGTGAGAGGGCAAAGCCTCCATTTTCAATTCCCACCGATTTGACAGTTCAAATTAAACATAGAGGATAATTTTGTGGTGGCCAGAGGAGCAGAGAAAATCGATTGAACCGGACCAATTGATTTGATTCGATTTAGTATTTGAAATTTAAATTAAGCCACACAATATTTGAATTAATAACTAGGGTTGGATAAAATGACTGAAAAATCCGAAACGGAACTGAAATTTACCTCCGTTGAGACCGGGGCATACCAAAAACCGAAAAGCCAAGAAAGACGAAAGTTTCGGTATGGTATTCGGTTTCCCCTGACCATTTATTTGATAATGCGTACCGAACTGAAAATATTTTTAATATTTTATACTATTTTTAAAAAAAATGATACTTTAAATGGTATAACTGTTTGGTTTTATGGGATTTAAAATTTCCGTTAAATCGATAGAAGTAATCTTGAAATCGTTTAACATCAATTATTTTAGAAAAATTTTCGCTAAATTGAAGAAATCACCGATTTAAGATGAGGGGTTGATTTGACAAAAATATCATCAATTTAACAGGAAATTTCTCACATAATAACCAAAATGATATATCGTGAACAATCTCAGAAACCACTTCTATTAATTTTAAATCTCAAAGACTAAAGTAAATATTTATATCAATTTTAAAAACCATTTTAAATAAAAGGCCTTGAAGCAGATAACAAAATTTTTAAAAGAGGTAGACGATAAAGACTAGGGGTGGGCACGGACCGGGCCCAAATTTGGAGGGACCAGACCGGACCCATTTAAAAAGGAGACGGGGCGGGGCGGGCCAGGTGTTACAAATCTTATCATTGGAACCGGACCTAACCCGGCCCGTTTCAAACGGGCTGGTTCGGGACGGGTTCATGAGTCTTTTTTTTTTCCTGTTTGGATCGCCTCCTGAACTTCAACTCGGTCTCCAACATTAAGACCCTCATCTGCTGCCGCACCGTTTCCAAGCGATTCAACTCATGCTCCACCACGGTTATAGTCTCCGGCTTCATTTGCTTCACCACTCATAGCACATTCTCAATCGTGCCGGGTCGGGCAGTAGCTTGTGCAACCCGAAGACCAAGTTGACCGCCATAGGTCTCGTAGAAGTGCATCTGCAGCATGTCGGAGAAAGAGTGGTCGATCGACAGCTAAGGGTAGACTTTGAAGATTCAAGGCTAGGGCTTCGGCGAAGAAGGTGGCGACTTTACGCATAGGGCCTGCTTGTGAACCTACCAGGCTGCCAACAAAGGGTTCTGATCTACAAAATCACAAAGCAGAAACATATATAAAGAAGAGAAGAGATGGCGGTGCGTACCTCCTGAGCGGTGAGTCATGGCAGCGAGAAAAACCTAGGGATTTTTGAGTCGGCAAATATCAGGAAGATTAACAATTTCGAGGAAAGAAGAGTGTAAAAAACTATTAGCCTCCCAAAGGCCCTCAATGTTCGGTGGGCCTCAAATACCAAACTTGTTACCACTTGTTGGTGGGCCTCCAAAGGCTTTGGCATGAGTGTGTAGAGATTTAAACGGTCCAGGCCGGGGGCCCATTTTCTCCAATCTTTAAAACCGGCATGCCCCATTATTTACCAAGAATCACCCCAGCCCCCCCTGTTTTGTATTTATAATTTTTGGACCCGTCCCGTACCCGCCTCGAACCGCATGGATCCGACCCGACCCGTGGGTCCATAACCTGTTTGTCCACCCATAGTAAAGACGATTTGATGACCAAAACAATATAATAAAAGGACAAATTGATGGTTTTGAAATATAAAAAACCAAATTGATGAGTTGACAAAATATAAAAAACAATTTGTGATTAAAAAAAAAAAAACCTTTTGTTACAATTATATTTAGAATAAGAATGTGATTTTATAAATCCTATTATATCTAGACATATTTTTTAATATTCTCTTTAGTATTATTACCCTATTAGAGTTGTAATCATAAGGATTTAATTTATCTTACTACTACATAAATAAAGGTACAATAACATAATACAACACGCGTCTTACAATTAAATGTCATTGCCACCACCCTCTTTCTCTCTTTATTCTTTTAGAATAGTTCAGTTAAATAAACCTACTCTACCTTTTTGTTAAATAAGCCACTATAACTTTTTGTTTAAAAAAACTAATGAAAAAAGTTTAAAAACTTTAAATTTTAATGATAAGAACAAAATAAAGGATAAAGTAAACACTAATATGATTAATTTTTTAACATAAAAATATGGTTTTTCATTAAAGTAAATAGTATTATGATTTTTCGTTAAAACGTCTTTTTTGTTTTTGGTTCGAAAATCCTTTATATTTAACCAATCAATAATGCACACACAATAATATGGATAGGCAGTAACTGGGGTTCCTGTAAAATTGAACCAACCCTTTTTATGTATAAATCAATCAGCTATCAAAAGGTTTCTCTCCTTTTTTTTCTCAGCTGTTGAAATCAAATCAGGAAATTGCAGAAAAGCATCAAAGTATATAAAAAGGGGGATTTTAGGGGCTTTGTGGATCAGAAAATGGATTTCGTTAAATTATATTATCAAATTTGCTTCCTTGTTTGTCCTTTTCCCCAACTGGTTGAGAGTTAAATTATCCGAATTGGTGACACTTTAGGGTTTTGATCGGGGGGATTGATGAGCACTATGAATCTGGCGGTGGTTCTGGTGGCGGTGGCGGTGGTTCTGTTCGGCCGATTTTTCATCACCAAGGCCAATGTGGTGCTGATGGGGAACAACGTCACTCTCTCTTTCGACGACAAGGAAGCTACTTTTGGTGAGTTTCTTTTGCTTTTGCTTTTTTCTTCATGTTTTAATTTCTGTTTGGTTGCTAAGAAATTGCGGGAAACAAGAGTAGCTGAAAGTTAAACCAAACTAATAATTCTATGCATGTGTGTTTGTTTGTTGTTTTCCATGTTTGCGTTTTTGTTGATTTTTGTGGTGGACAATGATGTTAATTACAGCTCCGGAGGTTAAGGGTTCCGGGGAATGCGGAGTATTGTATTTGGCAGAGCCTCCTGATGCGTGCTCGGCATTGACTAATCAAGTCCAACAAGGCACGAATTATAGCTCCCCCTTCGTTTTGATCGTAAGAGGAGGGTGTAGTTTTGAGGATAAAGTTAGAAGAGCACAAAAGGCCGGCTTCAAAGCTGCAATTATCTACGACAATGAAGATAGCAACATCTTGGTTTCAAGTAATGACCTTTTCCGATAACAATTTTTCACGCTTAGTGTTTTGATTTGTCAAGCTCCATATTTTCCAGCAATTACTCACTGATCAATGAAAATTAACGGTGTTGTTGGAGATGTAAACAATACACAAGTCTAGTTGACCATAAAAAAAACAACACACAAGTCTGTCCATGCCTCCCAAATGGTCACAAGCTCCTAAGTAAACCACTGTCTTGCTAGTTATAACTCTGCTTAGGTTTATTTACTTTTTATCTATTCGAACTAGGTGTTTAAAAACTAAAGTTAGAAAGACGATAAAATAATAGCAAAAAGTTTCACAGGAGGAAGATATTGTAAAAAACTGTTTGAAGGTTGACTATTATGTTTGAATGATAGATTCAGACTTTGTTAATTTTATACACACACACACACATATATATGTGTATAGTTTTTACATTTCTGTTCAATGCCCGAAAGGTTTACACCTCAATCTACTTCTTTTCGTAGTGGTGAAGAACCTTCTCCCCCAGGTAATTTAAGAAGAGGTATTAATCAATTTACCCCCTGAACTTGTGACCATTGGCCAATTTCCCCCCTCAACTCTCATAATTAGTCAATTTGCACCCTACTGTTATTTTTTTTAATTTTCCATCTATTCTTCTGTTAAGTAGGTATCCGCATGACTGCCTTTTAAGGGCAAAAAAAGTCAATTTGCACCCTACTGTCATTTTTTCAATTTGCACTCTACTGTCATTTTCCGTTAAGTAGGTTTCCCTACACCTTACCAGAGGTAGACAAGGCCGAGGGAGGAGGCGACGGGGGTGTGAGCAGCTGTAAACTGCAAAAGCAGCATATCAAATGGACTGGGCTGCAAACAGCAGAGGAGGGAGGCGTTGGCGGCAGTCACGGGCTCAACATCGAGACAAGGAAGAAGAAGAGAAAGTTCTAAGAAAGGGAAGAAGATTGAAGGTGTAGGGAAAATGACTTTTTTGCCCTTTAAAGGCAGTCATGCGGATACCTACTTAATAGAAGAATAGATGGAAAATTCAAAAAATTAACAGTAGGGTGCAAATCGACTAATTATGAGAGTTGAGGGGGGAAATTGGCCAATCCTTACAAGTTCAAGGGGTAAATTGATGAATACCTCATTTAAGAATACATAAATGCAGTAGAAGATACACAGACTTTCTTCATGTTCTGAGATTTGTGTCCATATGTTAATGTGCGTGCACTTTCTAGTCTATTTTTAATTTTCTCTATACCCTCCCAAGTGGTTTAAGTTTTAATTATTTATTTTATTTGTTCGCCCTTTCTAGAAACTGTAATTCCCTTTTGTGTGGAAAATACAGTGGCAGGAAGCTCAGCTGGTATAAAAATATACGCCGTGTTCGTTTCGAAAACTTCTGGTGAACTACTAAAGAAGTACACTGGACTTACTAACATGGAGCTGTGGCTAATTGCAAGCTTTGAGAATACAGCATGGTCAATCATGGCAATCTCTTTCATTTCATTGCTTGCCATGTCTGCAGTGCTGGCTACTTGTTTTTTCGTTCGCAGGCATCGAATAAGACGAGAGAGGCCTCAAGCTTCTCGTGTCCAAGAATTTCATGGGATGAGCAAACGCTTAGTAAAAGCAATGCCAAGTTTGAAATTTACCACTGTTTTAGAGGACAACTGCACATCAAGCACATGTGCTATATGTCTTGAGGACTATAACTTTGGAGAAAAACTCAGGATTCTGCCATGTCGCCATAGTAAGTTTCTTTTTGTTCCGCCATATAAAAAATATTGTTCCTTGCAGAGCTTTTTTGTATGATTGGTTGGCTTATGTTTCCTGCATTAGCATTTTAATGCATCTATGATAGCTACTCTACTAAGTTATGCAAAATTTTATTCGTTGGTCACATTTGATTTCTCACTTCATATAAACAAAGAATTGGTTTCTCATTGTTTCCCAATTACCAGTATTCAGAAGTTGCGTTATTTTTGGGACTTCCAACCGCGCTTGACCTGGTGGGCAGGGTGCCACAAGTTGTGCTACTTTTTGGGATTTTAAAGTCACTTGTCTATGCAAATAAATCATATAGGATCTCAGAACTTTGTTTTGTAGAGGAAAAAAGAGCTTATTGATGCATCCTTTACAAGGCTTGAAATCCTGATTGAATTTTTGGGCAAATATCTATTGTTGTTTGAAGTACAAAATAGTGGGCCACTAGGAGAGACCCACGTGGGGTTTGAGACAGTGGCACATTAGCTTGTGGTGTTCAATTTTTGTTTGGATAACGTATTGTGAAAACAATACTTTGTTATTTAAATGAATTTGTATGCTGAAAGGTCCAAATTTGGTCCTTCCCTCCAAGAACTTTGCTTTATCTTAGACATATAGTCAACAGAGTGCTGGTTTGGTGATTAAACTAGTCATAAGGAGCATAAACTTGGCATTATTCTGGAGTGGTGAGAAGTGTTAAAAAAAATACGATACACATTTCTGCAGATTTCATATTCCTTGAAAAATTTATGTATTTCTGCCAGATATTGCAGCAAATGGGACTTCTGAAGTTCAAACCTTAAATATTATCTTAATCAGTCTCTAAATTCATATAAGTGGATGCAAACTGGTTTATTTGCTGCACTCCACATTATAAAAAATCATTGAGAAACCAATGGAAGAATCATATAAAACATCTCATTTGTTTGATGTTTACTTCATGGTATGGCATTACAAATCCTATCCTGCAAACTACAAACTCTCGGTAATGCTTGTTGTTATGGCAATTAAATATTTGTTTATGCTGAAAATTCAGATACCTTTCCAGTAGCTTTAGAATGTTGTTAGTGGTTAAATTTGAATAGTGATAAAATGTGAAGTAGTTGCGGAGGTAAACTTCAAGAATCTCCCACTTTGATAACCTGCTATGCTATTAACCTAGCCTAATGGAAGTTGTTCAATGTCAATGGAGCTTGCATACATAATGTAGAATCTTGAACAACTTTTCTCGTCAGCTGTATATTGACTTCAATAATTATTTTGTAGTATGCATATCTCACTGTCACTTACCCGGATTTTGACAGAGTTTCATGCTCTCTGTGTGGATTCTTGGCTTACTTCATGGAGAACCTTTTGTCCAGTTTGCAAGCGTGATGCAAGAGCTAACACGGGTGAACTACCCGCTTCAGAATCCACACCATTGCTTTCGTCCGGCCCATCCTCCATGGCATCTTCCGTACTTTCATCTATGAGATCATCAATAGCATCATCTTCAGCAATACAGATAGGACCATCATTGTCACGGAACCCTTCATTGTCTCATTCTCACTCTTACGCTAGCACAGGTCACATTCAGCAGTCTCTTAGGTCCTCCTATCGCCAGTCCCCTTCTATTAGTGCAAGCAGAAGTTCAATGGACCTCCGAAATGCCTCGTCTCAAAGGTCCCATGTTTCCTATTTTGTTTCACCCCATTCCTTGGGTTACCCAACCTTATTACCCCCGAATTCAAGATACATGTCTGTTGGACACATTCCAAGCCCTAGCAATGCATCACCAAGCTACATGAGCTCTTCCAATCATCGACCGCATCCACTACATTGTAGTGAATCAGCTGCAACGTTTTCTCCTTTTTCTTCTGCTCAATCTCTTCCTGAATGCTGATCAAGACTTATGAAATAGCTCGAGAGGGAGGTGAACCAAGATGCTTTTCTCCACTCTGACCTCACCTTGTTGCAGTATCGTGATTGAGGTCTATGATGTGAATGCTTGCTGTATGCTAGAATTCACACCTGAAATGTTTCTTGTTACCACCTCACATGTATATTAAACTATGTATATAGTTTTAATTTGCAAGATGTGTTTATGGTTCAGGATCATATATCAGATGTTTATCAGTCGCAAAGTCAAAGAGTGAGTTGTGGTGTGCATTTGATAATCGGCAATGGTGGATACGATTAGGGAGCGTTTGGGATTTCTTTCCAGAATGACTTATGTTTAAAATTTTGATCATCAAATGGTTTGGTAAAGTTGTAAAAAGCTGCTTTAAAACTTAAAAACTTACGGAGCCTGCAAAAGCACTTTAATTAAGTGACAGTCCATATCCCTCCAATTTTGTGTTTTATCTTTACTGAGTTTGGTGTAGCTTTCACTAGTTAGCAGTCGACTGCAGCTGCAGACCTCTATGCTCTCATCTGAGAAATTTTATTGCTAACGGTGACTACCCGCTCATCAAGTCATCACTCATCTGTAAGTTTATATATCTCCTTACAATTTTTTACTTTTGGATTTGGAAGCTCTCAATTTTTTCTCAGATTAGGGCTTTAACATTACCATGAGAATAGGGGCATTGTCTTGACTATGAGATAGGGGCTTTGTCTACTTCAAGATTAGATAGATTACTTCTTATTAATTGATGTAAATTTCATTTACGTATTTCATTTCAGTTTCTATCATTTAGATCATGTTTGCTGTGCGATTCACGTATTCCAGTTGCTAAGTTTGTTTGAGTATTCAGAATTGATTATGTTGATAAGCTTAGTTCTGCCAAAGGTTTTATGCTGTGAATGTAGATGGTGCACATCTACATGTTTCTGTTATAGTCTTTCCATATCTAGGATTCTCTTACTGATTATGTAAGCATGTAAGTAAAAATACCATATCATATACAAGGGTTTTGTGCTTGACTCTGAACTGTCATAAAAGTCTGCTATGCTGATAATCGTAACTCAAAAATGGTTTGAGAATATGTGTTTCTGTCTCTAAAGATGTGCTGGGATTGCTGTAACTAGTACCTAACTATTTCTAGAATTCAAATTATACACTCAAAATCTAGAGTTACTGCCATTTACATCTTCTATGTCTCGGATTTTTGTTTTACTAATTGCCGTTCCAAGGTGTGCTAGGCTTGCTCCAGTACCTTTTCCTTTTTCTCGTCTAAAAACTGCATAACACTGATACATATGTATGGATTGACCAAGTCGCATGGGATCATTACATTTTGTGTCTCTGTTTCATTCTTAGGCAAAGCTTTATATATGAAGCATATACACTGATGGAAAAGGAGTAACGATGTGGAAAATGGATCCAAAGTGATGGGTATCAAGGAAGCGGCGGCAGGAAATCGTCGTGGCACATATCTTAAGAAGAAGGGATTGGAAAATTCAAGGACCAACTGCACTAAGAAGACAGAAAAGAATCCCAAATTGAACAGAAGTCTCAAATACGGATACTTTGGTACTTACAAAGTTTCACGAACTCGTTGCGATTCCAGGCTTGGTTATGTTAAAGTCCATGAAATTCCTTCGAGTGGTAGAAGGCTGCAACAAGATCTCTGATGCTCTTAACGAGATATTTTACAGGTTCTCTCTCTCTCTCTCTCTCTCTCTCTCTCTCTCTCTCTGTGATGGTCCTCGGTCTTTTTATATCATTGGTTGTAATTCGCAGTTGACTGTGCATTGTTTATTCCCCATGCCTTGACACTATGGTAGTATTTTAGGTATAAATTACACCACGGGCACTATTCGTACCTCCAGGCCAGAGACAATAGACGCAGCAACTAGCATCCCATGAAGATCTCTTTGGCAGGGAAAGGGTTCAATTTGGAAGCTGTGATGAACGTGAGTTTATCGTTGATTTCGGACCCTAGTTCAGTGTGGGGAAAACAATTGTCTTCCAATGATCAGCCACGAATCAAGTCGAAGACAGAGCGCGGCGATAATGGCGAGGCAGGACCAAGCAACGGGCTCATTCTAATGGATGGCGAATTTGATACCAAATTAGGCTGCCTATTGTGTGGTTTAGCCGAATTCCATCTCTCCTATTGTAAAAATATCAATGTACTAAAAAAAAAAAACTAATGCAACCGCACATTTTGCAGCTGATTATTATTTGTCTTAAATGTTGCTAACGTTATTAGTATTATTTTGTTTTTATATACAACAATATTTTGGAATTCAAATATGAAAATGCAACTCATGTTATGAATCGTACATGATTGTCATGAATAAAATTTTTTTTTTAGTGAATGAATAAATGATATTTAAACACGCAAAATTGAAATATGACTTTAGATTTTTGACAATTGTAAAAAATTCCTGGCACCAATGATTGTAGAAATTTTTTAGCGTGTGGACAGTTTGGTATAAGAAGTGTCATAATACAATTGTTTAGATTTTTTTTTTTTTGAAATTATGTCTAATTGTATAATTAGACTTGGTGTACAAAGCTGTATTTTTTGGTCACTATGAAAGATCTCCTCACAATAGGGGTTGGTATAAACACCGCCAAACCGGAAAAACCAAGTCAAACCGTGATAAAAAAAAAATCGTAAAAAATTGCATTGACTAAAAAAGTCAAAATCGGGACAAAACCCAAATTGGTCCTGCTCAAACGATTCTGGTTTGGGGATAATGAGAACCGAAATAACCAGACCGAACTGCTTTTAATTTAAATAATTTTTTATTATAATTTATAATTAATTGATTGATTAGGGCTTAATGTTAATTTTGAAGTATTTAATGGGTGGTGGGTCAAATAAGAGATAATATATCACATTTGGAGAGACCCTTGTTTGGCTGTTGTGTTGTAAATTGTAATTAGCAATTCTTGTTGGTTTTAGGGAACGAGAGGAAGAAACAGATTCGCTAGTAAGTAATTGAGATTTGATCAAGTTGTGCTACCGTATTAAAACAAAAACATTAATTTAATACTTAATTACGCTTAACTACATAATTCGCTTGAATTTGTGATTAAAATGTGTTTGGTATTGAAGATAGAAGATACGAAAGTATATATATCAGGTCCCTTAACAAGATGAATTCCTATTTTTTTTTTTTTTTTTATAAAAATGCAGACACTTTATTAACCGTTGGATTAATTTTAATGAAATTGTGTGGTTGAGATTAAATAACAGGACATACAATCTCAACTACACAATTTCATTAAAATCAAATTCACCGGCCAATGAAGTGTCTCTATTTTTTTTTTTTTAAATAAGGATCCTTTTGTTAAATAATTCGTATATATGTATGTATATATTTATTTTGAACAGTAAACTGATATGAACCGAATGAAACCGCATAAACTGAATCGTATAATTTTAATAATAAATTTCAACAGATTCGCATCGAACCGAACTGTCTGACAAATAAGCAGAACACACCTTTCCAGCTTCCAAATCGAACACTATATATACATTCAACCGAAACCGGCAATTTCCATTTCCTCCATCCGCAGGCAGAAATGGCGAAACCTGACAAGTCGAAGCCCAATATTCCCCAATACGTCCGTTCCTCCGCCAAAGTCCACCCCGACTTCGATGCCGACCCCAACTCCTACTCCCTTGAAAAATTCAAGCTCTACGAGACCAGACAGGTAACCGATTCTTCACTCTCTCTCGCTCTCACCAATTCAATTCAATTCAATCCAATTCTTCATTCTCCTCCAATTGACGCTCTCAATTCCAGCGATTTTACTTGATCGGAAGCGATCGGAACAAGCGGCTCTTCCGGGTCTTGAAACTCGACCGCTCGGAGCCCGACGATTTGAATATCAGCGAAGACCCGGTTGTGTACTCGCCGCAGGAGATCAAGAGCCTGCTCCAGCGAATCGCCGAGGGCAATCGCGCCACCGGCGGCCTTACTTTTGTCACCAAGGTTTACGGGATCGCCGGTCAGTGTCTTTGACCTCAAATTTACTTGAGGTTTATGAACTACCTGCTTGTATGTTTGTATTTACTCTTTGTATGGGGTTTTGGTAGGTTGCATTAAGTTTCTGGAATCGTATTACTTGATTTTGGTCACCAAGCGTCGCCAAATAGGAAGCATATGTGGTCATGCGATTTATAGCATAGAGGAGAGCCAGTTGATTACTATTCCGCACGTCACGATTCAAACTGATGTTGCTCATTCTAAGACCGAGTTGCGGTAATTTTCTCCTTTGTTTTCATGTTTCTCCGTTGTCTGGACTGTTAAATGATAGCATAAATGTGGCAGAGATATATTTGGTTTGATTAGAGATATACGGTCACTGGGTTATTTAATTGTATAATCAGCATGGTCTCTCACCGTGGTTTCATACATCAGGCTTGCATACTACCAAGAGGCCACAAAGAGTACCAGAAAGAATAAGATAGGAAGGGTGAGGTTACCCAACAAGGGTCCCGACGGTGTGAAGTTTTATGGGGCTACTTAAGTCATTACACCAGTGTTCCTTAACACATGAAAGAAAGAAACCCTGACTTATATTTATTAGTGCCCTGTTAGAGGAGTGAGAGAGTTTGCTTCAGGGGTTTACCTTTATTTGCTTAGATGGACAAAGTCATGGTTGTACAAATATACTGTTCACGAATGACACTGCTAATGATTTCTCGTATTGACTACGTGGAAGTTGGATTGGGAAGGGGTTAGGTGACCGCCAATAACTTAGTATAGTAAATGGAGAAGGGTGTGAATTTGATGTTAGAAAGTTACTGGCGAAGCAAATGCCATATGCTGTGGAGACCTTTAATGTGAGAACTATGCAGTTAATCTGTGATCATTGGAAAATGCGTAGACTTCTGTTTTACTTAATATCCCTCTTGTGGAGGGGCTTAAATGAGTGTTCCCTCCATTATTTAATTGTTTCATATCTAAAACGGAAAAATATATTGCAACGGTACTCTGAATGCTTAATTTTACTCAACTTCATGGTCACCAACTAATATACTTTCTAGTTCAACTTCTATAGAATTTACTTATATTTTTCTTTCTTAATTGTAGGTACAAGAAGCTTCTATCCAGTGTTGATTTAACCAAAGATTTTTTCTATAGTTACTCGTATCCTATAATGCAGAGATTGCAAAAGAATGTGTTATCAATGGGCGAAGAAGGGATGCCGTTTGATAATATATTTGTATGGAATGCCTATCTAACACAAGCTATTCGATCAAGGTGCAATAACACAATCTGGACAATAGCATTAGTGCATGGCCATTTTAAGCAGGTATGAAACACACACACGCAATCCCTCTCCCTCCCTCCCTCCCTCTCTCTCTCTCTCTTTCTCTCTCTCTCTCTGTATGTGTGTGGTAAGGAGATTGTTTTGGTTAGTGGAACCCATAGACAGTTTTAGCCGGCCGAAAGGGGCATTGTTTTAGACTTACTCTACATTTTAACTGATACAATTTGGTTATACCATATCTATTCTTTGTTGATGAACTTATATCTTATGTATTTACTTCCCATGCTACATATGTATTTACCTTGTGCCGAGGGATTTATGAGTTTAGGCTTTTTGACTGATGCTTTAGGTGTCTGATGGACTGGTCGCCCATGTTTCTTGTATTTCTTTATGTTTTTAATAGATAAAACTTGTTTCTTCTTTGAAAAGAAAAACTTCTTAACTGAAGATGTTAAATATCTTGATTAAGTTTATTTTACTTCGTTATGGCAGATTAGGCTATCAATCTTTGGTAGGGACTTTAGTGTTTCTCTGGTCTCTAGACGCTCTCGGCATTTCGCAGGAACACGGTATGTGGTAGTTTGAATATCACACCACACCATCTTCATTTCTTCTAATTATTCACATAGCTGTCCACATGGCAAATAAAAACAAAAGTAAAAAATTTTCAGCTATACATTTTTCTTTAATTTAAAAAAAGGTTTAAGTTTTTTGTTTTGAGGGTGAAATTTCACTGGTATTAGCTTTGGTAATGTTTTGAGATACAGAAATTTCTTGTTGTATTAAACATGTTTTCGATTGTGTTGCAGTTACTTGAAAAGGGGAGTGAATGATAGGGGAAGGGTTGCAAATGATGTTGAGACAGAGCAGATAATCCTCGATGAAGAAGTTGGCTCATGCAAAGGAAAAATGAGTTCTGTTGTCCAGATGCGTGGCTCGATTCCCCTTTTCTGGTCACAAGAAGCTTCAAGACTTAGTCCTAAGCCTGATATTATATGTAAGAACACATTCATATTAATTGCATTCGTACTGAATCATATGCTACATGTCACATACATTGTTACAAGGGCCATTGGAATTAATCATTTTTTGCATGTTTTTATTCTGACTTTAGTACAGAGATATGACCCCACATATCAAGCTACCAAACTACATTTCGAAGACCTGGCAATGAGATATGGCAACCCAGTTATTGTGCTTAATTTGATCAAGGTTTGTTTATTTCTAAATGCCTTCTGAACAGATGCTGGGACGACGTTTATTGTTAGTCGTTACTCTTTACTATTACTGCATGTGATGGGACAACATTTTTATGTGTTGGATGACCAATTACTATTTTATTCTTCTTGTTTTCGTTTTAATTAAATGGGGGTGGGGGATTCAATAAATGTGCAATTCAGATCATTATGAAACACCCCTTTGTTTCATTATGTTGTACCTTTTCCAACATTGGGAAGGGATATACCACTAGACCGAGAGCTAGTTGGTTATTGGATATTTATCATAAACAACCTATGCAATTTTGTCAGCCAACCTATGTAAACTCCAATAAACTAGTAGGAAGAGAAAGAAAACAAAACTAGAAAATTCTGACAATGATGCCGAAGTTTCTGGTTAATAGTTAAAAGTGAGGTTTTATAAGTCTTCCTGTTGTATGAGAGAAACATTAGTTTAATGTGCATCTCTTCTGCAGTGGCTAATATTTATGTGATAGCTATTGCCACATAGTAGATCCTCTATTTAATAAATTTGGTTATTAAGAATGAGTTGTAGCTAGTTGAGGATTGTATAAGTATGGTGTAATATTGCAGGGCAATATTGAAGATAGAATGCATCTCTTGTTTCTCACATCTCTCTGATGTTCAGTCTAAGTTGACGATTTTTTCTGTGCTTCTGATCTACAGTGATAAAGTTTTCTACTTGTGTGTGTGTGTGTGTGTGTCATAGGGAGGTTGCGGTTACGAGGATGTTAATTGGTAAAAATATTTTTGGTGCCAAATTCTTTTCTAAGCACTATTTGAGTAATAGCCTACTCTGGATACATACATACATACATGCATACATAGAGATAAATATTTTGCTGGCATTACAAGTTAAGCTATATTTATTAGTTGCCCATCATGCAATTTTTTTCTTCTTATTTTTCGTTTCATGTGTCATGCAATTTTATTGTAGACTGTCGAAAAAAGGCCTCGAGAAATGATGCTGAGGCGTGAGTTTGCAAGTGCAGTTGGGTACTTGAATCAAATATTTTCGAAAGAAAACCATCTTAAATTTATTCACTGGGACTTTCACAAGTTTGCAAAAAGGTAACCAGTTGAATTTTCATTTTCCTTTTGTGTTTTGTTTTGCTTTTTTTGGCGAAGTGGACACAGACACACACCCCTATGATACACAGATAGATATAGGATACATGATTACATACTATACAAAAGGTCTCCTAAAACTAGAATAAGGATAGGGGAATTAAAAAAAATGCTGTATCATATGTATATGTGTGTGTGTGTGTGTGTGTGTGTGTGTGTGTGTGTGTGTATTTATGAGAATAGGGTAAACTACATCCCTATCTGGTGTGGTGCAGGCTTGTTCTATGTTTTTCTTGTCTTTTATGGTTGGTTGCAATCATAAAAAAGTATGAAAAGCATATTCCCCTTTTTTGTTTTGTCAAAAACCAGTTAGCACAATTGAACCAAAATTCTTTTTCCTTTACATGAACCATTATAGGAGCCCCACACAACTGAAATAAGACATACGCATAGTATTGTTGGGGAGTGGATTCTTCTTCGAGACCTAGAAATTCTTTACGGAATTGTATTGATCCATTTGGAGTATTTGATACGTATAGGGCCATATTGGTATCCAATTCTCCATATAAAGAATGACTAATTCTGTTTCATAGGCTTGCAGATTTGTATATATATTTGTTATGTCTATGTATATATCATTTACATAGTTATACATCATTTTGCTCCCACATTTTTACCTTGCTAAGAAGTAGACTTATTTAGCAATAGATATCTCTGCAATGCTTTCAATTCAACCATCTCTACCTGTTTGTGTTTATGTTTGTTTTCTTCGGTCTAACCGTTCTCTATCTTTTCTGCTTCCAAAGCAAGTCTGCCAATGTTTTAGCAGTTTTGGGTGCTGTGGCAAGTGAGGCACTTGATTTGACTGGTTTTTACTACAGTGGCAAACCTAGTGTTGTTAAACGGAGGCTTAATCAATTAAGTCAGACAAGCACGGGAAGGTATGCAATTTTTTATGTTGGTTTCTTAGTTCTTGCAATTGTTATTGGAATCATGTCATAGATATGAATCACAGTCCTTTTTGTGTTGGGAAAATAAAATGAAGTTGTAACACTAGTTGTACAGTTTAGCCTAATTTCTGATTTCCATGCATATTTCTGGTGGCATGTCTATTAATAAGAGTTACAGTTCATGCATGCTATATTTTGAAGTTACACCCTTTTTTTCCAATTCTTTCATGCTGGTTCTCCAGTAAACAATGCACAATTATAAATATTGAATCATTGATACACCCCAATATTTGCTGGTTCAGTGATTTGCTAACTGTATTCTCAAGATTGGTTCCAGATCTCCATTGCACTTAGATTGTTATCCTTGAATCAATTTGTATCAGATAAGTTTTAGTAGGCAGACAAGTGCCAGACATCCTATTGAGGAAACACAATCTTGCTTTACTGCGAACTCCTTACTTATAGGGTTTGGTTGGGAGCACTTCTATACGGAGTAATGTACTTTTGTTTGTACTGCTTTTATTAGAAATTTAGAAGCATTTAAAAAACTCAAGTGCTTCATGCATATTTTGTTGGAAGCGCTTCCACAGAAAACTTATAAGGTTCTTAAAGAAGCAGTAAAATGCTTCTCTAAACTCAAAATTGTACCTGTTTATATTTAAGTCATACACTTTAGAAGCACCTTTGGTACTGTTCAAAGCACGCCCGAACACATCTAGTCCTCCATAACCAACATGGATCCTGATATAACCCAATTGGTGCTGGTTCAGTTCAACAGCTCAGTTGGTCATTCCATCTAAGGTAGGATATGCAGAAATTAGGTGCTATGGTGCAAGTGAGCGCCAAATTTTTGTTCCAGGGAGAATTAGGTTTCTTTGTGATACAATCTTCTTGCTTGTAGGACCTGTTTGGGTGTTTGTAAAACTGCTTTTGTTATAATAAGAATTGTGTACCGCTTTTGTTAGAGCTTAGATGCATATAAAATATCCCCATGACTTCTGAAGTGTAAATGTTTGGCAAGTAAAAATCCTTTTTATATTGTAAAATTTCTCTATGTTACATGTTCTCAATTTTTTACCACAGATAAATATGATTAAAGGTGATAGTTTTCGCATTATCTAAAATTTTAACATTTCAGTATGTTGGGAAGCAGTAATGAAACTCTAAATTCTTCTGTTAATCGGGACAGGGAATCTGATGTTATTCAACAGAAGAAAAATGATAATTTTAGCGGTGAACCACCACATTTTCAAAGCGGCGTTCTGCGCACGAATTGTATTGATTGTTTGGATCGTACAAATGTTGCCCAGTATGCTTATGGCCTTGCAGCTCTAGGCCGCCAACTTCATGCAATGGGTTTGACAAATCTGCCCAAAGTGGATCCTGATAGCACTATTGCTGCAGCTCTCATGGATATGTACCAGAGCATGGGAGATGCTCTTGCGCAGCAGTATGGTGGCTCTGCAGCTCACAACACTGTATGTTCTTACTTTTCTTCTTGGGTTAGAGTATGCATATTATCAGTTGCTTGATGTGATAGATCAACCTCTATAATTCTAACGCAAAGTTAAAAATGAAAAAAAACTCTACAACTCTAATCAGATGTCCACTGAAAAAAAATCACGTCAAAAACCAATGTGTTATAATTGTGGTGAAATAAAAAGATGAATATAATGCTTCTGATAGACGGACATTAGGTGAAGATCATCCTTGATTGGGGAACCTGAAAGACGGTTCGGATCATTTCACCACATTGTAGGGTGGGTGTTAACAATGTGGTCCTCTCAACTTAGGTTTTTCTTGAGAAGTTTATAAAGACATATAAACAATAATAGTATAATTCATATAGTGGACAAGGAGTCCACCTTTTGAATGCAACCTACAACAAATATTTAATATATTTATGTTTCTCTGTGTGTATGTGCTTGTGTATGAAGTGTGTGCGCACATGCGTATAGATAGATTTCAAATTCATATTTATCTTTATCTTTTCTTCCTGAAACCTTTTCCTTATAACGAATGCTAGGTATTTCTTGAGAGGCAGGGAAAGTGGAAAGCTACAACCCAATCAAGAGAGTTCCTGAAGTCTATTAAGCGATACTACAGCAACGCTTACACTGATGGTGAAAAGCAAGACGCCATAAATTTGTATTTGTTCATCTCTATTATAGTTTCTAATGAAATTTATTTTTCTATTTTTAAGTATTACCTGCTCTTTCCTGTAGCAACAGATGAGACTTATTACCTACGATCTCCATCAATTCAGATAAAATAAAATATAGAGATTGATCTCGATCATTAGCTTCTCCATTCTGCATTAAGAAATAGATGCATCTCTGCATATGTGAAATCGTTTTGTTGCTGCAGTAGTTGTATATTGTGTTTTGAATGTCTCGAGGAAGTAGTAACTTTATGTTGTTTTATTTTCACATTGAAACGATGTTGTATTATAGTATGTCATATTATGTTGTACTGTATTATATCTCACTGTGTAGCAATTTACTATACAATGCTGTATTGCACATTGTTATAAAGGTTCTAATACCTTGATGTTTTTGTGGGTTTTACCAGATTTTTGGGTTACTTCAAACCACAGGAAGGGAAACCTGCTCTCTGGGAGCTGGATTCTGATTACTATCTTCATGTATCTGGAATTGATGACCCTCTCTTTGATGTGTGGTAAATCTCTATGTATCTAGAATTGGTGACCTTTGCACATGTCTATGCACCTTGTACATCTACAATTACCTGTCCCAATCGGTTTTTCCAAGTCTTCTGTAAAGTTAATGTTTCATTTTAATCTCCCATTTTTACAATAAGATTCTTGATTTTCAACTTTTCAGTTCACAAGGAAATGATACACGCTTAGGAGGAATGGGAGACACTCTTGCCCCTATTCCTGCTTGCAGAGAAGATTTTTTGAGGATGAAGTTGACATCATTTGATAAATTGATTGAAAGGACATGTAGTTCAATAAAGGATGTTAGACTTTGTAGTGAACCAGATCAAAGACCAGGCGGTAGTACTGCAAATTCAAGTGTGGCACCTGATGCAGCGTAATTATATTCAACCTAAGCAGTTTTTACCCCTATGTTTAGCGTCCTATTGTGATTTGATTATTCATCTGTCTTTGGTTATCCTGTGCACTTGAGAACCAAGGCAAATTCTTCGTAGTAGTTACTGAACATTGGAATTCTTTTTTCTTTTTGTTTTTTTTTTTCAGTGAAATACAGTTGAAAAGCCCAAATTGGCTTTTTGGCCAGAGAAAATACGAAGAAAGTGGCTCTGCACCAAAAGTTACTTCACATGAAATTGGTAATGGAGGATCCCATAACAAGACAGGGGTTGATGGATTTTGTGACTTGAATTGGCTTTCTTCTGAAGCCGATGATAATGAGGAGGATATCTTCCAGAGGTATGCTATATGGAAATGCTTTTACGTTGGCACAGGAGGAGAACCTCCCATTTTGCTTTTTCATTTGCATAAATATCTCCAGAAACATGAAGGTGTTCTGCATTTCTATGTAGATGGCTTATACAATGTTGTTATTACCATAACCTCTAATATAAGTGGGCTGCTAACCGAGTTAAGGATAATAAAAGAAAGTAACTATGGCAGAAGAAATTTTGATAATGGAGTAGTTTGATCTGGGTAATTAAGATGTTTTGGAACTCTGTGTTACTATTTGTTGGCATCATCAACAACATCGACAAAAAGATTTACATATACACAGAAAATCTGTTGAATCATAATGTTTCATTTCTTTATTCCATGTTTTCCAGCAATCTGTAGCCATATACTTAGTTTCATATAAAAAGCCTCTGGGGTATCCTATATTCCTATGGAGTGTATTTGTTGATCATGTATTTCTCTGCTGCGATTCCAAGGTACCTTTCAATGACATCAGTAGATGAAGCCAATGGGTGGTACGGTGGGACACTGCTAGGTGATCAAGATGAAAGCAGTGAGATATATAAGCACTATGCTGAGTTATGTCAGGTATAGTACTTCTAATTTTCCAAACATGGACAAGTGTGGTATATCCTTTAAACTTTAAAGTCTGACATAAGTTTGTGCAAAATAATGAATGCGCTTTTTTCTGGTCTTTGTGTTCATTAACTTCATTCTCTGACCAGAAAATTGAAGAAACATAATTATAAATTTCTTTCTGTAGGTGAACCCTGTAGGTTAACATTTTAGTTAACGGATAGGTCTGTATGCTGCACATGGGAGTGTACCTTTTGGGCATAGTTCAATGAAAGGAAACAAAGAAAAAACGCTAACATGTGTAGAAACAGTTAACTATTAACTCCCTGATTTCTCTATTGTTGTTTGGTTACGAGGTTTAGGGTTTAGGGATCAAGGATTGGGGCCTAATCTTGAGGTTTGATTTGGGGCCCATGCCAGTGCTCTAGGATTTGCGTCTGTGATCTGTTATTGGATTCTGGGGTACATGTTAGGGTGGTTGGGTTCGATGTCCGGATCCCTGGCTTGAAGCTTTGGTCTGCGGTCTGTAGTTCAGGGTTCAAAAAACACCTACTACATTGAAATCCCTGCATCCTGAAATGGGATTTTGACTCTAAAATCCATCTATAGAAGCACAATTATCATGTCAGGTTTCCAAACAAAATGGCATTGTTCACCACCGATAAGACACCTTAAATCTCCTTCAAATGCACTATAGTAGTTTTATATCTTGGATGGTTTTCCGATATTTCGTTGAAGTTTGACACTTGTATTTTGAGCCTTTAAAAAATGGCATCGTTCACCTACTTTCTCACATATGTGGTACATTTGATTTTATTGATATTGTGAAATGCTGCAACGTGCAGGGCCCTGGCATTGAGCCTTTAAAAAATGATGGTGAAATGGAGAAGCACTATGCTGATGCTCTTCATATGGGAACAATTAACATTGTAGATGATGCAGCTGTTGAGGTAGAGATGGAAGCCGCCCTCAAGGAATACGACCAAATTGGTAGTGATCTCGGGAGCATCCCCGCATCGTGTAAATCGTTAGCGGAAGATCCGAGCTGGTTGACGAGGTGGATCATTGGTGAAGAGAAAGTTGAGAGGATTTGAAGAGAGATATTTGGTGTTGCGTATAGTTATGATTTTTGTTTCTTCCATTGTTTCTTAACTATGAATGCAAAAGAGGCAAATATTTTTGAGTATTTATTCTGGTTTTCAAATTTGGAATTTTACTGGGATTTATCATCTGGGTATCCTTTGAATTAGTTGGGTTTTTGAGAAAAGTAGTGGGTTTTGTTGATTAAGTGGTTAACTTGGTTATACTTCTAAATTGGGTTCGAATTAGGGTTTTCGAAATGTTGCTTGCTTGCTTCGTTGTTTGGAAAATGGAGACACTGACTTTTTTTTTTATTGCATTTATGGAATACAAGGAACTATGAACTTCAGGAACTACCTTTCTGGATTTTGTTCATAAGGGTCATTTGAATTTTATACTTTCTTTTTTTTTTTTTTCTTTTTTCGTTTGCATTTTTTAGGCAAGCAAAATGATGTAAACTGGCGATTTATGGTGGCTTTGGAAGGGTGGACTTGCTCTTATAAAGTTCTGAGAGACAAACTGCTTTGGAGCCAGCAGCACTTGGGAGCACTGAGAGCAGCGGCGTCTCTCTTCTTCTATATTAGGAGAAATTATTAGATAGCACAGTGTTATCATGTGGCACTGACAGCTGGTAGTACCCATCAACAACAAATGCATGATAAGTGGCAAAGTTCACATCTTTGGCTTCCAGAAGAAGAACCAAGCGTCAAGCTTTGCGCCCTCCTTCCCCCGCGGGAGTCGATTTCAAGTTCAAAGCTGAGAAATTCCGACTCAAAAGTGTGCGATTTCTTCATTTCATCAGCAATGGCGGCCTTTCGCTCTCTTTCAGTAATCTCACGTCCTCTGTTTTTAGGGTTTTGTTTTTTCAGAAATTGAAAAATGCACCTTCTTTGATCATTAAACACGCTAGGCACATTAGGTTTCCTCTTTTTTGTCCATGTTTCATGGAATCGCGTTTCCTTAATTTTTGGTTTTTTTTTTTTTTTTTTTTTTTTTTAAATTTAATTTAGTTTTTAATCTTTAAAAGAAGAAGCAAACTTGATCAACAATGGCGAAGATGGTTTCTGGTTTCAAACAATCGGAGATGAAGTTTGATGGTTCCCTGCTGCAATTGAAGGATCTTTTGGAGAAGATGGGTTCCGTTCGAATGTGCTTCAGAACCAATTCCATAGGAGATCCAAGACGGCATAACTCAGATCGGAACTCACCCGATTCAAGGAGGACGAACGGGGAAATGAGCTGGAAGTCGAAGTTGTGAACTGTCAGTGCCACGTGGTACTGTATCATCTAATAATTACCCACAAATATCAGTGCGACTTTGAGACCCTTTTGCGAGCAGTTATATCCTGCATCAGGATCACCATATTGTGGTTTGCCAAAATTGCTTGCCAAAATTACCAAACCAACCCCTAATCCCTACCAAAAATGGAGTCCGCCATTTCTTGGATGCGAAACCGAGACCTCCAAGAAGAAGATGGAGATGATGGCGTAGTAGTTAATAACCCTTTTCAATGCCGCCCCGACGCTACTGAAGTTGAAGGCCCCTTTGTTGTCGCTTCTTGAAAAGCTTACCCTGAGAGAATTAGGACAATTAAAAGTTGTTTCCAAGTCTTGGAACGATCTTGCGTCGTCGGAAGCTGTCGGGAAGTCCCTCTTCCACCACGGTGGCTCCGCCTCTATGATCTATAGATGGGATACACAACGTCATTTCATAAAATTCACCGGTGAAGATAGTGATTTTGCTGTGAAAAACCCAGTTTGACTGAGAGAATATTTCAAAATCGTAGGTTCTCGTAGAGGCTTTCCGCTTGGAGACGGAGAAAAATTTACTCCTTTGGAATCCACTCAACAACAATTTCATGCAGATCGAAGGAATGGACGGCACAGCGGCTTATGGCTTTGGTTTTCATCTAACGATTTCTTCCTTATCCGATTTCAAAGATCCTAACTTTTCAGGTGTTCCGATCCAAAATGGGTTCTTGGAGCATTTCTTCTGTATCTGATTTTAAGTTTATGCTACTCCCTCCGTTCGGAAGGGTTATGGGAAACATTGTCTTTTGGAGGGGTAAATCTGTGAGCTCGAGGGTTTTGTGGCTTTTAGTGTCAAGAAGGGCACCATTTCAATGCTTAATTTACCGGCCGGCAATAGCGGTATCGATAGCTTGATGGTTGGCGACGTGGGGACTCATTTTTGATGAATGACTCAATTTGTTAAAAATATGGCGATTAGAAGGAGATGGTGATGGTAATTCATGGGGATGGACTACCAAAGGCGTTACCCTAGTAGAACTCATTGGTAGTCCATCCCCACGAATTACCATCACCATCTCCTTCTAATCGCCATATTTTTAACAAATTAAGTCATTCATCATACTGACAACCAAAAAGTGACTTCCCACGTCGCCAACCATCAAGCTATCGATACCACCACTGTCGACCGGCAAATTGAGCTTTGAAATGGTGCCATTCTCGACATTAAAAGTCCCAAAGCCTTAGAGCGTTAAAGATTTACCTCTCCAAAGGACAGTATTTCCCATAACCCTTCCGAACGGATGGAGTACCATGAACTTAAAAGCAGACACACACGAAATGCTCAAGAAGGAACACCTGAAAAGTTAGGATCTTTGAAATCGGAGGTATCAGTTTCAGAAGGGGCTACTATGACAATCTGAAACCGACAGGGACTGAGGGTGAGCCTGGATAATTCAGATCACAATAACCTAAAACACAAAACTTGTAGTATTACTGTGATACTACAATGACATGCAGTAGGTTGTGTTTTTAGTAAATCTCTATGTACCTGGAATTGATGACCCTCTCTTTGATATGTGGTATATTTCTATGTATCTGGAATTGATGACCATTGCACGTCTATGCACCTTGTACATTTACAATTACCTGCTCCAATCGGACTTTCCAAGTCTTCTGTAAAGTTAATGTTTCTGTTTAATCTCATCTTGATTTTCAACTTTTCAGTTCAAAAATAAATTCTACGCGCTTAGGAGGGTTGGGTAACACTCTTGCCCCTATTCCTGCTTGCAGAGAAGATTTTTTGAGGATGAAGTTGACATCCTTTGATAAATTGATTGAAAGGACATGTAGTTCAAATAAAGGATGTTAGACTTTGTAGTGAACCAGATCAAAGACCAGGCGGTGGTACTGCAAATTCTAGTGTGGCGCCTGATGCAGCGTAATTATATTCAACTTAAGCTTTTTTATCCCTATGTTTAGCATACTATTTGTGATTTGATTATTCATCTGTCCGGTTATCCTGTACAGTTGGGAACCAAGGCAAATTCTCGTAGTTGTTAACGGACAGTGGAATTCTATATTTTCAGTGAAATACAGTTGAAAAGCCCACGTGTAAAGTCTAACAACGACACTTGTCCAAAATTGAAGTATAGTTTGAGCTCTTGGCAAGGAAATTTGAAGTTGAAGCTCGGCAGTTGTGATTAGTGACTCGTAGCAGAGTTTATTTTTTTTCCTCCGACGATTGCAAATTTTTCAAAGAGCAATTAGATAATCCATGATCTTTTTTTACTATATACTTACCATACTAATATTGTTCCTTTCACCGTGTAATTTGATCCTTTGTCTATTTTTTAAGTCTGTCCTAAAATAATATATTTACTAAAAAGTATGTCATTATAATCCTAAATATCCTGTAAATGTCTACAAGTAATGTGTCGTAATTTAAACATTGAGATCTACATTTAATTACTATACTATTGTGGCTATATTTATCTTTACGGCCAGCCAAATTTGGCATGTGACAGATAAAATACAGAAACCTTAATTCCTTTGATCATTCACTTCCAAAATTGTCCGGATATCTCCAGCAATGCGCCGAGTCTTACTCGGTTTTCATACTAATTCCTACGACCCCGCCTCTAAAATTAGCATGTACCAATTAATACAGACAATCATCATACACGTACGTTCGTTCTGCTAAGATACAAAAACAAAAAAACATTTGCTACGTGAAATAAAAGGCAGCAGATATGTCAACTTCCACATTCAACAATTAGACAATATTACAATCTCTCTCGATCGGTGCGTCTCTTTGGAATAATGGTCATGAGTTGTGTTGTTCCTACAGTCGTCGTCTTCTCCTCTACCACCTGCTCCTTCTGTGTATGTGACTCCACAACAAGCATGCCCTGCACCTTAATCATCCCTTCTTCTCCTCCTGTAAGTCCATTTATTTAATTTCTATATCTCAATTATATATAGTTGTCTATATTAGTTCATATACTTATGAAAGATCAAATGATATCGAGCTCATTACCCATCCTAATTCTGTAACCATTTCTTTCTGTTCGGCATATGGGTTGTCTAGAGATTTCATCTTTCATGTTTACAATATTTGGCTTCATTTTGAAGCGAAACGATAGCAGTTTTATTAATGATAGTAAGAATTGATACAAACATTTCATACACTCGTTAATTCCTTTGAAGTTAGTCTTCGATTCGGTCAGTCGAGGAAATACCATCATCTTCTCAATTCTCATTGAATTTCTTGCTTTTTGCTCAATACTACCACCTCTTCCAGTCATGCTTTAGCAGCAATAAAAATATATTTTCCAGAATCATCAACTCCCAACAATCTCCGGAATGCCTCAATGCCTCATGAAATCAGGGTTTCGCAGTAATAAGTTGTAAATTAATTATACATAAAATTAACTGAAGCAAACAAATCTGAAAACAGGCCTAACCATCGGATTGTCGAGGTTTGAGCTTCTACGTTTCAAGTTTGCACGCTGATCTGTTTACTTTGTCACATTCAACTCTCGGGCTTTTCGGACGCGTATTCGTTTGCTTTTGTTGTACTTTTTCCATCTGGTTATTGTTTTTGTTTCTGGCAAAATCACTAATTTAGTATACTTTGACCAAAAATAGTAACACACAAGTCATGCACTTTAGACCGTTGATCGGGATGACCACGATGTGATTGAATCAAATCAATAATGCACAAGAATCCCATTTCTGGGATTGACAGTGATTGAGACAACAAAAATCATTGCATGCATGCATGCAAGACATGAAAACAGCAACGCGTGGTGCAGTCTAGCAAAACCACGCTGTAGGACGCGTCTACGTACTCCACACAACGATCTAATGTGTTATATAATTATGGAGTAGGATTCTCTACACTCCTAATCTCTCTACCCTTCCATTCCCTTATATTTGAACAGTCATGATTAAGCCACATCAACATTTATATTATATTAATTAATTTTGTTTAATAATTTTTTTTTTTAAATTCCAGGTGATTCAGCTGATTCCTGAATAGACCCAGTTACCCTTGACGACATATATTTTACCTAACTGGCCCTTGTAATTTCTAGACAGTCCATACCTATCTTGATAACACACTTGTAAGTCTCGCATGTTTTTTCCCAATATTACAGTATGCAGATCCCCAATCCAAGTCGGATCACTAACAGTCTCATAGATTCTAGTCCATGCCAATCCCAATCCAAATCGCAAATCCAATATTCCTATCCTCTAGAATTTAGCCTCAAGCCCCTCACAACTACTTTTGAACCCCAAGAAAACCCTTCTCTTAGTAGAAGCTGCTCCTCCACCTCCATTGATACAATGATCTCCGACTTGTTTTCCCCGACCTCCCCGTCCTCCGCCTCCTCCGACTCACTATTAATGTCTGGGGACTACCTTGGCATGGAGTCCTGTGTCGACGTTCTAAGTGACGATGAATTGAATTTTAGTAGCTGTCATCATGATTGTTATAGTCAGAGAAAAGAAAGGTTATGTTGGGCGCGGGAGAAGGAGAAGAAGAGAACTTATGAAGAACTTCCACCTCCACTTTCGTTGCTGGCGCGTACGGAGAATCTGCCTTCTCACATGCCTTGGGTTTTGAAGAGGCATTACACCACCGATGGACGGTTGATTTTGACGGAGGAGAAGGTTCGGCACCATGAGTACTTCAGGGCCCATAGATCCAATGGGCGCCTTAGACTACAGCTTGTCCCTCTTGACGGCCAGGTTTTGGTTCCGCCAGTAGTTTGTTGTGATGATGATCATGATGAGGAGGAGGTGGATGATAATGATGGGTACTATTGTGACAATCATGATGTGCTCTACGATGACAATCTCGATGCTTATGATGGCGACGATGATGCTTATGATTACGATTACGATTGTCATTGTGATTATGATTATGATTATGACAATGACTGCAATGGTCTTTGTCGTCATGGTGATGTTGAACAAACAATTAAGGTTGCCAATTCATCAACTGCGTCAGCTGGGAAGTGTCGCAATATTAACACTACTGTGAAAACAGAGTCATCGTGCATCTTGGGAGTGCTAGCGCCAGCGATCAGGTATGTTCACAGTTAAGGCATGCAATTTTAATCCTCACTTTCATATATGTAACTCATGAGCTCCCAAAATCTAATGATATTTTTAAAAATATTGAAAAGCAAGCACACCATCAGTCACATGTATGAAATTATGGTGTGTTTGCTGCTCATTTTTTTCTTCATTATATGCTTTTACGGACAGTTGAAAAAATAGTCATTTTGCACTCACGCTCATGGAAGAAACAAGAGAGGGAGGAGATTAGTGCCTCTTGATTATTTTAGAGTGCTAGTTACAATCACTTCGTTTAGTTGTCTTCCATGAAATTCCATGGGTTGTCATGGCATGCTAGAAAATTAAAGCTACCTAGGTTACTTTGCAACTGTATGTTTGATTATCGTTGGATATTCAGCGGCGTATATATGAAAAACTGTATTAAATCTAAACTATTGATTAGATTTATTAATTCTTGCATAAATTTGTGGTTTAGGCTTAAGCATCTTGTGCTGCCAGGGATTATATGATCCTAATTGCATTTCTTGCACGTTTCTTTACTGTGGATAATGCACTATGAATCAAATAACCCTTTCTTAGGTTTTGGGTTTCTAACCATCAAGGCCAAAATTCTTGTTTCAAGAGCATTATATACATGCATATTCTGCTGTACATAAAATATAATGCATATCAAAATAAATTGAAAGTCTTAAATTTTCATCCTTGAAATTGAATGGATTTTAAGAAGTTTCTGAATTTGCAGATGTGTGAAGGGCAATACAAATGGATCAAGGAAAGGCTTTCTGGGGCAAGCTGGATTTGGCGGCCTATTTCGCGGCCATGCTGGTCAAGTAATGATCAGCGCTTTTTGTGACAATATCGGAATCTCATTTACTCATAGGGCTAAACTTGCAGCCTTCATCTTTGCTATGATCATAGCTTGGGAGAAGGGTTGGTTACGCTATGGTTGGATACAAATTCTCAGTTGGTCCTATCTCTTTTCTCTAAACCCCTTTCTGCTCTTTGGTCTTTGTGTCCTCAGTGGGGACATTGATGTTATCTAATAAGCCTGCATGATCGATCTTCAGAGTTTCTCATTTAGAAAGAATGGCAATACATGCGGTGGCTGATAATCTTGCCAAACCATGTGTTGGTGGGATAATACTGGTTTTTCAACTCCTGAGCCAGGGATGGAATTGCTCATTGTATATGGTTCTTTTCGTTGCCTTTAGCTGTACTCAAAGAATTTTTGAATCATATAGGTAGACCTGACATTCGTGTCGTGCTTTCTGTTTTCATGTCATACCTGATATCTTAACGGATCGTGTCGTATAACACCCGTTAAAATAAACGGGTAAAATGACCCGATCTGAAATCGACCTGATAATGTTAAGAGGTAATATGACCTGACCTGTTACACGTTAAGTAAAATATATTTTAAACCAATAAATAATCAAATGAAAAACATAATACTAAATAAGTATATACATACCATATTGTCAAGTCCAAAACATAAAGACGCATTTTTCTTTTAAGTATATTTTCGCTTACCTAAATTGATTGATCTAGCTTTTTTCTTTTCAAGACTCGTATTTGTATTGCCTATACATTCGCTTCCAAGATCTCGTTCTGTTCCCATTATAATTTGCACGGACTCCTCATCACTAAGGTTTACTGAATCTAAATCTCTAGCATCCATTGCTTCTGAAACAAAATGGGTATAAATTAATTAATAGCTTAATTAATTAAGTAAAGTCTTTAATAGTTTTTTAATTAATGTAGAAGTGTAAAAAATAAAGAAAAAATATATAAACACTTGATCGTAATGATAAGCTTTACAACTTTCATGAAGAGCTTAACTTCGAAATTCGCCACTATAATCATATAAATCATAGATCAAAATTTAACCGTTGATTGTTGTTTACATTTACGCTTCATTGTTCTTATCAAATTTTTTTTTTCAGATTCTCTTTTTTGAAAATATGATCTATTAAAGGATGCAGGAAGATGAATGGTTTGGATCGTTGATATTATATTCAGAGTTTTACAGTTGGTGAAAATATTGCTTGGTGTTTATAAAGTTTATACAAACTATATGACATCAACTCATATTTCAGTTAACCGTAAATACCGAAACGTGATATCAAAGATCTGAACCATTCATCTTCTTACATCCACCAGATGATCATGCTTTCAAAAAAGAAAATTTTAAAAAAGAAATTCAGTAAGAAGAATAAAGCGTAAATGATAATCGACGGTTAAATATAAATTTAAGGTTTATGGATTATAGTGTTGGATTTCAAAGCTGACCCCTTCATGAAAGTTGTAAAGCTTGTCATTATGAGTGATTGTTTATTAATTTTTTTTTTTTACATTTTTTACACTTCTACAATAATTATTATTAATTTTATTAATTTTGTCACATCCCGCCCCGGGCCCCCACCACATCCCGGGCCTGCTCCACCACCGTAGCACGATATTGTCTGTTTTAGGCCCCGACCACACCCTCACGGTTTTGTTTCTGGGAACTCACACAAGAACTTCCCGATGGGTCACCCATCCTGGGAATGCTCTCGCGCGCTACTCGCTTAACTTCGGAGTTCCCATGGAACCCGAAGCCAGTGAGCTCCCAAAAGGCCTCGGGCTAGGTAGGGATGAGAATATACATATAAGGATCACTCCCCTGGGCGATGTGGGATGTCACAATCCACCCCCCTAGGGGCCTGACGTCCTCGTCGGCACACCACAACCAGGGTTAGGCTCTGATACCAAATTGTCACATCTCGGCCCAGGCCCCGACCACATCCCGGGCCCGCTCCACCACCGTAGCACAATATTGTCCGCTTTGGGCCCCGACCACGCCTTCACGGTTTTGTTTCTAGAAACTCACACGAGAACTTCCCGATGGGTCACCCTCGTCGGCACACCACGACCAGGTTTAGGCTCTGATACCAAATTGTCACATCCCGGCCCAGGCCCCCACCACATCCCGGGCCCGCTCCACCACCGTAGCACGATATTGTCCGTTTACGCCCTCACGATTTTGTTTCTGGGAACTCACACCACGACCAGGTTAGGCTTTGATACCAAATTGTCATATCCCGGCCCAGGCCCCCACCACATCCCGGGCCCGCCCCACCACCGTAACACGATATTGTCCACTTTGGGCCCCGACCACGCCCTCACGGTTTTGTTTCTGGGAACTCACACGAGAACTTCTCGATGGGTCACCCATCCTGGGAATGCTCTCGCGCGCTACCCGCTTAACTTCGGAGTTCCCATGAAACCCGAAGCCAGTGAGCTCCCAAAAGGCCTCGTGCTAGGTAGGGATGGGAATATACATATAAGGATCACTCCCCTGGGCGATGTGGGATGTCACAATTTTGCCCTCAAATAAAAAATATTATTCATGAGGGTTTGGAGGATTTTAAAAATCTAAACGATAATGTAAGTATAACCATTATCTGCTCATGGAGGAATAATGATGAATCATGACTGTTTATATATTCTTTCACATTTTTCAGACTTGTATGTATGTCTTCTTAGTTCTTGCCTATACAAATATTATACTAGTTTATTTTAATTTTGGACAACAACATGTTAAGTAAAATTTATCTTAGTAATGATAATAAGGAACTCTCATAATAAAAATAAATAATGACTAAAACTTTTTTTTTAAAACTTATATAGAATAATAATACAAAACTATATATTTAATATAGAATATATTGTATATATTAATATGACTATTGTATTTTATAATAAATCTTTTAGTAATTAAACTTTAAAATTATCAAAATAATTTTTTTCTTAACAGATCGAAACAAGTTACCCACATGTTACCTGCGTCACCAAGGTCGTGTCTGAGATTTTGGAGGCCCTGTGCAAAATTTATAAAAGCGCCCCTCCTTTAGATAAGTCTTAAAAAATATAGAATAATGTATTGACGCTAGAAAACAATCACTTAAATCAAAACAAAGTTTAGCACTCACTGATTGCAAGTTTAAAAATGTCATTAATAATAAATAAAAAGAGCTACAAACATAACGTTCACTAAATAATCAAAAGCAGTTCAATCTTAAACAACCAAACAAGAAAACAAACTTCAAAAACTCTAACTTTAAAGTTTCACTTGAATATGTAACATTATTATATAATAATATTGAAAAAATACCGTCTTTTATGGTGTATTATTGGTACTCAAAATATTTTATTGTACTCTAAATTTTTTTATTTAGAAAGAAAAAAAAAATTACGTTTATAAGGACTGTAAGATAAGATTTTAAAGTACTAACAAAATCAATTTTTGAATATAGAACATTATTTCATAACAAAACAATTTTAAATATAGAATATTATTACATATAAATATTAGGTGACAAAAATTTTGGGGGCCCCTTCAAATTTGGGGCCTTGTGCGACTGCACCTTTCGCACCTCCTCAATGCCCCCTCTCCCCGTGTATACCCATTAAGAATCCGTTATTAACAGGTCACCCGATAATGATCCGATTAGTTATTGTGTTGATCCGAAATCCGTTATTTTTGTGTTGTGTCACTGTGTCGTGTCAGAAACTGCTAGGTCTACATATAGGTATATATTCAGAGTTAAAAAGATGGGCCTATAGTCTTTCCCAGGGTCAGCCCTAGGGGCAGGGCACCGATTGCAAGGGCATGAGCCCCAAAATGAGAGAGGGTCCTAAAAAAATTGATTTTATGTGTCTCAGTTTTATTAGTTCAGAAAGATTAAAGAAGTGAGACTGTAATAGACTAGTGTGATGATGATAAAGATGGAGTTTCTCGCCAGGAGGCAGCTCAGCCCATTTTATTGTTGTTTATTTTTTTTCAATTGGATTTTTGCTGTGATTAATTTCTAGTTCTTTTACAAGATTTTGCCTCTAAATTGGTTTTAGTTCAGTGATGGAACTTATTCAATGCTTCACTTCAAGCCTCAAATTTTTGCAACAAACTAATCATCGTCATTGGCTGCTGCTGCTTCTGTCCTCCTCTTCATGGTAATTGTTTAGTGACCTTTGATCACAAGGACCTCAGTTAAATGATATTGGTCCCTTTCACCCATTGTCAATCCGTCTACCTGTTATGCTTAAAATGGTGTCGCATGTGAAGGGTCATGTTTAGAGTGCTCTCCCACTGGAAAAAAAAAAAAAATTAAAATCTTGCTTGTGGAGTAAATGGTTTTGGGCCTTTACATGCATAGCTAATTGGTTTTGGGTTGGTTACTCATGTTCTAATACTTATGATTGGGAATTCGGCCGTTGATCTACGCTTGCTACTATTCAATTGTATCTCAAAGTAATTTTTGGACCTTTTTTTTTTTACAAGAAACGATAGTATAGTCTTTCATTAACCAACACCAAACAATTACAGAGTGTCATTGGGTACAGAATTCAAATAGTGACCAATAAATTGATCTGGAATGAATTTGCACAAAACAGACAAATAACAGTAAACCCCTAGTAGACACCCACAAGCATAACCACATAATCACCAAGTGCACAAGAACTACCAGTACAAATCTGTCACAATAAATGATAGTCGCAACAGAGAGATACCAATAGACACAACGGTCATCGCTGAATAGCGAGGCCACAAAAAGTCATCACGAAAGTGCAAGACCACGTCAAAGTCATCATTAGCTGACGAGACTCACAATACACAATGCACAAAGACAAAGACCAAATTAGCCAAAACACCAGCGCCATCGCGGTGCACAGGGGCGAGAAGAACTACACTACACCGAGAAAGGATTCGATGTACAACTCATAACAAGGGGAATGAGGCACTCATGCCAAGGCCACCTACAAATTCCGGACAGTGGGACGCTGGCGTCCACGCACAAGCCGAGTCGAGCCGCAACGAGACGTACACACCAAGCTCCCAGACCAAGCCGATCCTCTAGAGCTGAGGAGCACCGAAGTTGGAGAGGAGGGTGACACCACCATGGAATTGAGTTAACAATGGATGATTCAACCCACCTACAGCACAGATCTAAACCCTAGACCAAGAAACCGATCGCCAAATCAAAGAAAATCTTGAAAGGGCATGGCCCGGGTCAAGGTATAGGGCATAGATCCAGGGATATCTGCACCCAAAATGGTGGGAGAGAAGCAAGGGAGGGGAGAAGAGGAAGGGAAAGGTCGGGAAGGAGGGGTCGGCGTGAGGAGATGAGAAGAAACGAGAACGGCGAGGAGTGAAGGATGGCTGAGATGGGGAAGAGGGGGGAAGAGGAAGGGAGGAAGAGCTAGGAAAGGGAGGGGAGAGGCTGCCACAAGTCCCCAGCCATTGCCAGAGGTCGACGGCAAAGGAGTTA